GTTAAATATAAGTCTCCTCCTTGTTTACAACCTCTCTAAGACCTCATTGTTGCTCACACGCTCGGTCTATGATATCCTCAGCATCCTTCTGTAGAACCACATCTACGTCGCCTCGAGTCTCTTCTTCATTAAATCTATTGAACGACTTTTCCCAATTATGAATAATCCTTACCAGATAAGGAGGAAATTCTTTCAGAAAATATCCAAAGTTAATTTCCGAAGAAATATGGTCCAAGTTTTCTAATTTCTTGTCATCATTAGGGTAGGTAGAGACAAATGGTAAGTTTTATTGAACTCATGAGTGACCTTCCGTAGTCAAAGAATGTTATGATGTAGGCATGGTTTGTCTGGCTTGTGTGGATATGTTTTGTTTTGCTTTTATACACATTGGAACATGCAGGAATACAACCATCTATGAATAAAAATTGTTCGGATGAGCTCTTCGCTATGGTATCTAGAATTAACTAGACTAGAGTCGAGATCTCATCAATTTAGTTGAGCATTACAAGATGCAGCCGTAAATTCTATGCTAACAGTTTCTTCACTCGCATCTCTGGCTTGTGGAACTCCTGTACAGTTCTTTTGCTTTCCAGCCAACTTTAATCAGCAAAAATTTAAATGCAATGCCAATCGCTATATACTGACCTCCTAATTACTCAGTTCTCTTTCTGCTCAGCATTATTGTTTCTGTTCCTAAATCTTCCATACCCTGTAAGCCCTTTGTGGTATAGTGGTATATATAATATATATATTGATCGGTGCTACTGCTTAATATATATATATATATATATATATATATACATATAATTATTTATTTAAAAATATGATTCCAACTCGCGACATAAGAGGTCTCATGTTTCAAAACAAGAGCCGAAATACTAAGGAACTTTGGATTATTTACCTAACCAGTTCTTTCCTATTTTCTATATATTTTCACACACACACACACACACACACACACACACACACACACACACATATATATATATGCACATTTTATATATATTTATATATATACATATAAAATGTGCATATATATCTATATCTATATATAAAATGTGCATATATATATATATATATATATATATATATATATATATATATATATATATGCACATTTTATATATATATATATATATAAATGTGCATATATATATATATCTATATATATATATATAAAAAATGTATATATATATATATATATATATATGCAATTTTTATATATGTTATATATGCGCGTACTTATTGAGAAGCGCTGAATATGACCGGACCGGATAGACCGGACATATTTAGTTGGATTGATGTGAATTTGTGACCCTGTGTGAGCGCGTGCGCATGCGTATATACGTGTTGGCGAGAAAGCATTCGTCGAACAAAATCGAGGAACGTTCTGCACGTTGACACCGCAACTGATGAAAGATGTTCGCTACACAATCCAACATTGAATACAGCGACCAATTGCGTACGTATCTATGCAACGACTAATGGATGCGCATATATGCCCAGTCCCACACTGTTCATATATGTTTATGTTTGTGTGAGCTCCAATGATTGAACGCGCGTGTATGTATTTCTGCGTACGTCAATGAGTGAAAGTGCCTGTATACATGTCTGCGTATGTATGAGTGGCGCTCCGACGACAAGTTTTCCTCCAACTACGATAAAAATCACCGATATACGCAACCATATATAAATCCAAAATTTAAAAATTATTATTAATCAATCCAAATATATATATATATATATATATATATATATATATATATATATATATATATATATATATAGTTTTCGACTTTCTTAAGTCATCATTAGGGTTGGTAGAGACAAATGGTGAGTTTCGTTGAACTAATGTGTGTGCTTACATAAGCAAGGTGTGACGTAAGTCTGTGTGTGTGTTAATTTTATTTTATATACATTTGAATTGACGATCAATAAAATTAATCGATACAAAATATCTGTTGTTTTTAATAAAAATTTGCCTTAAAAAACATTTGCTGCCTTAACAGATATGAACATATTTTGATTCTAAATTTAATGAGTATGGAGCGTGCGGAATAGCCTCGTAAATATCATAATTTTTACTGGTCTTCCATTTTCATGCCAGAGAATAACACCTTCTTTGCATAACCAAAGCAGGAAACTTGACATAATGCTTTCTTTGACAATAAACGTTTGTAATCTGTTTGTATCTAGTAATTGATTGCTCCTCTATGTTTGAGTAGATCCTAGTGGATGGCACCTTTCATATTCCACCAGACAAAAATTAAGGATTTCCCAAGATGGAGTCTTTCCATTCGTTTTGGCACTAGTTTCTCAACATGTGATAAACATAGTTTTTTGCGTTTTCTGTTGACATGCAAAACCCATTTTTCGTCACTCATGGCAAATATGCAAAAATAAAAGCTTGTCATTCCTGGAGAAATACTGTCTGCAACGTTTTGTTTGGTTCTGAAGCGAAAAAATCTCTTGATGAAATCAAATGTCCTTTTTGCAAGCTTTCCCAATTAAACCCTGAAATGCATACGACACAGAAGAAATAATAAACTAATTCGAGATGCAATTTCCTAACATGTGGTTGGTTGGCTCGTAATCCCTACCTGTTTAATATATTATCTTTTTCTAAGCATCCTTATACAAAATAGTTTCTCCCGGTTAAAATTAATGATTTTAAGCGTATTAACAACAACAACAATAAAAAGACGGATAGCAAAAAAATCTATATTGTCGCAAATTGATAATACCGAAATAAAATAAGGATTAAAACAGCTAAGCCGGTTTATCTGTCCCTATTCCCATCAAAGCAAAAATCGAGACAAAAACAAATGCGACTAAAAATTTACATCACCAGACAAATCTTATGTACAAACAACAAATAAAACATTAAAAGGTAATTACCTTTAAGCACACTAGCTACTCCTGTTTACAGAGAGATGGTTGGTAGGACTTCATATATATTGATTCCAAAAATATGATGACAATCGGTATTATTCTTACACAGCACTGAGAACATGTACGAACTGTAAAACCCAACATTCCTTTTCTTTTTGTTGGTTTCTGGTTAACTACTACAACAGTTTCTTTTCTCGCACCCTCCATCTGTGGAACGCTCTTCCGTATAATTGCTTCTCTGATACATACAATCTTCAAAAATTTAAATGCAACGTCAGTCGCCATTTTCTATCTTCTTGAATCTTGTTAATGTTCGTCCTTTCCTCAATCCTCCCTATACTAAGTCTTTTCTCTCACTTTCATCACCTTGTTATCAACTGTGTACTAGTGGCCTTAGAGCCTTCCTTGTGGGGGAAATCATTTAAAATAAAAAGAAGCTCAGCTATGGCTGAACCTTGATGCATTGACACATCTACATAAATTTTCAAACTTTCTCTTGCTATTATTGGTTGGAGCGTGTTCGCTTATCCGTGTCTCCAAACTTTGAACCGTTCTGCTTACATAGTCCGCATCGCATTGACATCTGAATTTGTAAATTACGAACTAATAATATTGGTAGGAAGGGCGTCTATCCGGAAGAGAAATATTATAATACCTGCGGACCAGGTATACTGTTGATTCAATTTCTCAAGTGACATTTTTGGTTACTAGCGTCTCTGACCCAGTACCGAACAACAACTTGGCATTTCTCTAAATTTGTATCAGATACTTAACTAAAGTTTTATATTTGGGGAATTGTAAACTTTGACCTATGCAGTGAAAATTTAAATCCAGAAATTGGCTTCTGGAATAATTCAAGATATGTGACGCAAAACCCCTAACTATTAAAAAACAAAAAAAACAACAAAAAACAAACAAACAAACAAAAAAAAACATGAGAGCCTCAGGGTAGGGCTGCTTGGCCATTACTATTGGCGGATGTCGAAAAGTAAAATTTGATTAAACCTGGATGAATTAGAGACAGAATGTATTAACAAATTGCATCTGGCGGGATATAATGCTAGAAATTCTTTGGTCAGTGAACGGTTAACAAAATAACTCATGAGAAACTTCTTTGTTTCTTAATCGATTGACGATTTGTCTCATCTAAAAAATAAATAAAAATAAAATACTGTAGTGAAAGACTAAATGTGCCAAGTGATTTTTTTTTTATCTTGGAACGGATAACGAGATATTTCGCGAGAATTTCCCGAATTTCTGAAGGTACTCAAGGGAATTATTTTCTTTTTGATGCGACTGACGAGATACAACATGAAAAAAAAATTCTTTCATTGGGAGCGGTTTAATAGGCTAACACGCGGGAAATTCCTTTGTTCCTTCAGAGATTCGCAAAATACGTCGCCAGAAATTCCTTTTTTTTGTTGGTTTCTGAAGCAAATAAGGAGAAATTTCTTTTGTCTTAGAGCGCTTAACCAGCACTTTCACTGAGATGACGCCATACATTGACAGGTTCTACATCAGTAAGGGGAAAAGCCCGAAATGTGATTTTCAAGCCGGGAACGCTAGAATCAAGTAGACGCAGAAGTTTAAATATCTGAGAAGCGTCTTGACAGAAAACGGTGAGTGTGACACTGAGATCCGTAGACATATTGGGATGGCCAAGGACACATTCCAAAAGCTGGGCAGAGTATTGCGAGACAGCAGGATTTCTTTGGTAACAAAGAAAATAATACTGCCACGTGACATCTGTCCTTTTTTACGGTAACGAATGTTGGACGATTTCCTCGGGGATGAGGAAGAGCCGACGGAGATGTGGTTCTACAGAAGGATGCTAAGGATATCGTGGATCGAGCACGTGAGAAACAATGAGGTCTTAGATAGGTGACAAACAAGGAGAAGGCTTATACTTAACATCAAAAAGAGGCAGCTGAAGTTTCTGGGACACATAATGAGGAAGGAGGGCCTGTAGGATCTGATATTCTCGGATCGAATAGAGGGAAAGAGAGACAAGGGAAAAGATGGCGTGACATACCTGCCGTGCTTAAGCTTACAGCACCTAGTTTTCCTAAACTGACATCAATCTAGGTACTAACCAGAATCAACGTTGCTTAACTCCGGTGATGGGATGTTTTGATGTTGTTGTCACTACACATACACATAGATAGATAGATAGATAGATAGATAGATAGATAGATAGATAGATCTTCTCACAGTCAATAGCCGATGTCAGAAGAGAATTAAAATAATAGCCTTGGCTGGCAACCAGTCTCAGAGAAAGCTTCCGACGGAGAAGGCAATGGGAAATCCCTCCCCTACCATTTCCAAGAAGACACGGCAATTCACAGATAATAAAGAAAAGACATCTGTGAATATCCACGATCGATTGAAGGAATTTAGCATTAAAAAAAGAAAAGGGCTATATCGGAGAGAGCAGAGTGTTGCAGGAACAAGTATAACCTACCTGAACCATGGGTTGACCCCCCGGTTCAAAATCATGATCTAGGTTTTGGCATATATATCTCACCACATTGTCGAAAAGATGACTTTAATAAGAATAGCCAGTGAAGAGGATATCAAATCTTTCTGATTTAAATTTGATAGACGCAACGGTTTGTTTGTTTGTTTTTGGTTTCTACGGCTTATAAACCCTTTCGGGGGTTATTTAAAGCTAGAAAATACTTTTAAATTGTAAGTGTACTTTTTGTAGATAATAATGGTTTACTGATACAAGGCTTACTAATTAACCCATAGCTGGGGGAATACATGTATTGATACCTTTTCCCAATGATTAAAAAAAATAACGAACTCGGATTTGAAACTCGGCTCTCCGATAAAAATATTTTAAATTGTAAGAATGTTTCCTTTTTAGCTAATAAAAGTATAATGGTAAAAGTTAAAATTAACCCATAGCTGGGGAGAGAAGACATAGATTGATCCCTTTCCAAAGAGTATTTGCGCAGATGTGAATATAACAAATCCAACGGGGATTGGAACTCGGCTCTCCGATTAACAATTATCCATCACAGCACATAACACATCCAAGCTTACCGCACTTAGTTTTCCTAAACTGTCATTCATCTTGGTACTAACCAGGCTCAACGTTGCTTAACTCCGGTGATCGTACAGGAACCGGTGTTTCAACATTATATGACCATCAGCTTATCATGATGTACATGTTGGCATATATATATACACAGACATGACAGAATTGAATAGATGCTCACAGAAACCATTTATTTTATTAAACAAGTAATTTATACAAATGAAGTAATTATAAATGGTTATAAATTTAATAACTAATACTTGGTTGACATCTCTTTTGCTTTTTTTAATGCAAGGACCCTTCTCAGCATGCTAGCGATGAGTTCACGAATATCATCTTGAGGGATTTCTTGCCATGTTTGACGCAATAATCCTAAAAGTTTGGGCTTAGAAGATGGCTTCCTGTTCTTCTTGCAGAGTATTCAATCTAATATGCCCCAAAGGTGTTCAATAGGGTTAATATCCAGGGACTGACTTGGCCATGGAAGTTTATTGATCCCATTTTATCTCAACCAATGTTGCGCTGCTTGAGCAGTGTGACATGGAGCTCCATCTTCCATAAATAGAGAGTCAACTTTACTCATTCTACTACTTGAGAATATTGGAAGGAGCCCTTTCTTTAATATAGAAACATATTTGGTTGAATTAATGTTTCCTTCACACTCCACAAGCTCTGAGCGACCATCACTCCAAATTGCACTCCATACCATTACTGAAAGGCCCCCATGTTTCATCGTTGGCTGCAGTCTTTTTAAATTAATTGTGATAACGGAAAGTCTGACAAAAATGGTGAAACATTTTATGAACGCTGACGTAATTTTGCTGTGGATAAACTAGCGATTAAAGCACTTTCTAGGCATTTTATTTTCTCTTTTAATAAATGTTGCATTTTTTATCTCAAAATTGCAGTCACTTTCGCCACGGTGAACAACCATTGCGTTTTTTGAGATGTTTTTCAAACGCTTCTTTTGTATTCCTATATCATCTTGAGGCTTTTCCAATATAGCATTTCTGGAAATCCTTGCAAGTGATAGAATAAATTCATCCTTCAACATATGGCTTGTTGTTTTGTTTTAAATTGCTTAAGCTTTTTTTTTTCGTTGGGTTTGTCAGGAGGATCCACTTTTCTATTTTTTTTGAAGTTTTTATTTATATATATATATATATATATATATATATATATATATATATATATAGTCGACTCTCCCGTCGATTTCAACGTATGAGGGTCAAGCATATAAATTTCCAGGAAATCGACAGCCCGTCAACGAGACATGAGATTTGATTATAGTGGTGAAGGCTTCGTGCAGGACCATCCACACTTTTTGAAGGGCCGAATACAGAGACCTGGTGTACTAAGTGCCACAAGGTCCCCAAACAACCACCCTCAGGTTTTAAATTCAGAGTTGTCCTTCTCCTAGACCAGTTGCCATCTAAGGCTATAGAACCCAGTATGTCCTGTTATTTTACCCATAGCTGGAGGGAGAAGAAGAGGATTCATATCTTTCCAAAGGGTCTTAGCACGTAAGTGAATGTAATGGATTCGACTGCGATTCCTCAATCCAAGCCACTATCCGTTGGATTTTCTATCTTGGGATATATATATATATATATATATATATATATATTGGACCAGAACAAAAGAACGTTGCGTTTTTAAGTGAATTACAAATATGATATTTAGATATTTGAAGATTTATTTAGTTACATATATGCCATTTTCTTCCACTATATTTCGCCATTTTAAGGGACAGCTTCATATTTCCATCCTCCCAGAATTTGTCATCTTTCGCAAAAAATTGAGTTACAAGAATTTTGTATGGATCGCAATAAATGGTAAAAAGAATATCAGGTGCGTGTGGTTGGTGAAGCTGGACATCCAAGCTATTTTCTGCCTATTTCTTCATATGTCTGCAAAGAGACGTGAGGTCTGGTATTATCATGATGGAAGACAAAAATTCAGGAACTATTTCCTCGAGCGCTACCTTAAGCGGTTCAATTGAAAAGAGTTTTGTCTGAATCCAATGTCTGATTTTGCGGAAGGAGCTCGTAATATACAATATCTTTCCTTATCGCTTCCCATTCTTTCAAACAATTCATTTTTCACCGCCTGTGGTTGTTCTAAAAAAATATCTCGTTTTATTATGTTTGAACAGACGATCTCAGATGGAAATGCTACCATTAAATCACGGGGTACTATGTAGCGATTAACGTATGTTTTCAAATATCTTACAACGTTTATATGAGAAATGTGGTTTATCACTGCGACCTCCCGTAACATGTGGCCTGAATTATATGTCGTTAGCGTTTCGATTTAGCTATCAGCAATGACTGTGGACATGCTGGCATATTCTCGTTTTTTCCTATCGAAATTCCCATTTCTGAACCTATCAGATTCCTACATTTTCACTTTTAAGTTCACACACGAATTGTATAGAAAAAAAGTCACCTTTTAAAATATATATGGTAATGGTAATAATAACCTTTTTCTCATAAGGAAAACATACGACATTCATTGACCAGGAAACCAGTGGCACTGTTGGTAGAAATTTATCTTTCACTGAAAACAATTTTTCAGGATAAGGTCATTCTCAAGTCCGTTAGCAATATAGTTGGAGGTTTCCTTCCTAAACTTTTGTTTTATGTTGTGTAGAATTGATTATGTCGAATTGTATACGCTATACATTTTAGTTCTTGCGGCTGTTGAACGTCCTGAATTGATCTTGTTGTAGCATACCTACGGACGATAATGGTTATGTGCCCATTCACATAAATACAGTAGTAAATACTGTATGTTGGTCTGCAGTTGGATCTTCATTATGGAATTCACTTGACTCATTTCTAGAAGTTGACTACTTCTACGCGCCGCTGGCGAATCTTATATGTTTTGTTCTTGTCCTAAGTATTATCGTTCATTAACAACCTACGATTGAAAATTCTATTCACTAACCTTCCCTAGGTTACAACGGATCTACTTTTTGTTATTTCGTACCGTTCTTTGTTTCTGAATATGTAGCGCCAATCCACGATGATCAAAGAATGATATTTGTTTCACTTGCTCAACCATCGATCTGAGAAAAAGGCTGTATACAGCTGGCAGTTTAGATTCTGAAAGGGTTTGGCACCGTGCAAGGCATTCATATGAATGTCTACATCCGATGAGGCCATTTAAAACGCAACTCATCTTTTGGTTTGGTAGCAATTCGTGGTGATGGGCGAAACTACCCCTAGCAAAGAGTATTATATGGTCAGTTCTCATATCCTCTGTCCTAAATTTCTTATAATTGGTCCATACACCGATTTATTTGACAAATTGAAAAAGGTATGAAGCTCTCAACTCACTTGAATATTAAAAATACAGCTATTTGTTGCAAGAGAGTAATCTGTTAATTTCTATGGAAAAGAAGACCTGAACTCTAAAGAAACAGTTAAGCGGGAGTTACGCAAGGATGCGCAAGATGACGCATAATGTGTCCTGAAGAAATGATACCTCAAACGTTGAACTATATGGTGGGTTGTCAAAGCTAACATCAAAGGTTCTACAAAGGGCGCTGATACTTAGTATCAGAAAGAGAAAATTGAAAATTCTTAACAACATAATGAGGAAAGGGGACCTGGAGAATCTGACACTCACAGGGCATATTGAAATCAAAGGGGGGCAGAGGAAAGCAGCGAGTAACATACTTGCGCAAATGGATGGAAGAGCTAGGATTGGGAGAGATAAAGAAAAGGCAAAACATATAAAAGAGCTACAAATGATAGGAAGTTGTGGCGAGTCATAATCTTGAATGAAAAGCAATATTTCTATGAACAGGTGCCTTAGAAATTGAGTTTATGTCACTGTCCTTCTCCCGTCGAATCCAGTGACGTTTGAAGGCTGGTGGTAGTAATAGTGGTAATGAACGACAAAGAGAGCTGGCTAAATTTGTACTGATTATCATAATAATAATTATATAACTCTAATATAGACTTTCGTTCTAAAGGATTGGCTATTCGATTACAAGCATATACTGAAATATTCTCAGCCCAACCCACTTTGCGAAATTTGACCAGGACGACGAAACATATGATGTGAGGCAGAGACGTTGTTTTCGCGAGGTCAGAAATTTTCAGCACCCATCATATAACTAAAGTTACTCACGTTATATATATATATATATATATATATATATATATATATATATATATATAGAGAGAGAGAGAGAGAGAGAGAGAGAGCTCTTGAAAATATATTTCAGTTGAGCACTGTTGATTGATAAATTAATTCCATAAAAACAACTGCCATCTGCGTTAATGCAATGCTCTTCAGTAAAATGAATAAAGCACTCCGGCTGATTGGCATTACATTCGTAAAAACAATACGCTAGATTTAGCCATTTCACTCTCCCGTATGAAGATAGCTCAGTGGTAGTAGCTCTGACTGACACCAAATCGGTTGGGTTTCGGTCTTGGCTTGAAGCATTCGGATGTCTAGCCGCACTGAGGTACTGTGCTACCGCGAAACAGTACTGTCTGCAAATTTTATTTATATATATGCGTGTGTGTTCCCACCTCACAAAAAAAATGAATTTAAAAAAATTTCAAATACAATGTATAAGCATGTGTTAAATGAAACATTTTATGGTTTAGATTTCTTTAGTGTCAAGTTTGTGATAGACGGTATTTCATTTACACTTGCGTACCTTCAGGGAGTCTTAATAATTGGGGCGGTTGGTATTTTTCTCAATAAACGGAAGTTTCGTAATACAAGTGAGAATCGGAAATTCATTTAAAAGCTGACAAATTTGGAATTTAAATAAATAATTAAAAAAATAATTTTATCAAACAATGGAACGTGATAATTTTGGTATTAGTATTGTAAACATTTTCGCCGCATTTTTTTTTGTATATTTCAATATTTAGGCATTTATAATGAATTTAAAACACTTTATGTTTGCAAATAATTTGTGTAAATTTCAAAAGACTTACTGAGAGTTTGAAAGAGTTATCTTTCTTTGATCAGATATTTTATATTGAAGTTGGTTGCGTATTTAAGTTGCAAGTTTGAAATAATATATATTGCTTGAATGAGAATTATTAGTAGACTGATATTATGTTAACAGAAAGTTTAACGTTACGTCTGAAATATGAAATTGCGTGACGTAGGTTCTAGTGTCGAGTTGAAATTTTTGTGCTCATCACTGACGAGGATGAATGATGTAGGATTTTGATCCTATAACTTCGCTTATTAAAATGTTTAAATCGAAGTAACAATAATGTGAGCTAGATATACTAAAAAAAAATAAATAAATTAAAAAAAAATGCGGTGAAATTGTCTTAAGGCAAAAATCCTATATGCAAAGATTTCTACGGCGAAAATTCCTGAGGTGAGTTTTCCTAAGGCAAACATGTTTCCTGTGAATGATCCTAGAACAATTTAAAGATTCCCAGCGGGAATTATAAACATACAATCATAAAAGCCTTTAAGTAAAAAACTTACACCAACTAAAATAATCACTGTTATTTGTTGGCACTTCACTAGGAAAGACTATGGTTAAAACACGCTGAAAGAACCGTTTTGGGATGTATCACTGAAGTTAAGGAAGCTCGAGGCGTGTCAATACTTAGATGGGCGACTGCTTGGGAACATCGAGTACTGGAAGAAACCTCCAGCAATTCGGATTATGTTTTGATATTAAATAGTCAATCAAGTGTTGATGAGCCGTAAAAAACAAACAAATCTCTGAGGAGAAGAGTAAATAAACAGGATAATCTTAATAAGCTCGGAAAGGCCGGAAAGTTTTTTTTAAAGAAAAAATAAAAATAAATAAAGATGCTCTTTTCTATTAGGAACCCGATTAAAAGTGTTTGAAATAGAAATATTTTGAATATTTTTTGTTTTTAATCATTTCACCCCAAGCAAAGCAATAAAGCCACTAGGACGCAAAGGGTTACTGAGTGTTAGAGAATATGAGAAAAACTACAATTAAGGAGAGGCAACAATAAAAGAACAAGAATTAAGATGATAACGATTAACATAGCATTTAATTTTTTGAAGATCAAAGTTGTCTGGGAAACAAGAAGCCGAAAGAAAGCCCCACAAGCACGACAGAAGAAGTTGTTAATATAGAAATTACGGTTACATGTAGCCATTTCAGCAGTAAAATGATGAGTCTTTGCCGCCAGTTAAAGATTGTTCATATTTAGTGTGTCATTATCGCAATGTGATTCAAGCGGATACTAAACTTCTTACGATCCCATAACCCCTGAGAGTCATAGGGGCACCCTATGTACTACTCGGTAACAGGCGATGGTGTGTCTTGGGTAAAATATCCTGACCGAACTCTCTCTGGTTTGGTTTGAATTCAGAGTCTACTGTCTCCAAGTCAGAATGCCAACATAAGTTACAAAGCCCCGTCTGTGTTGTTATTTCTCCATAGCTAGAGAAAAGAGATGTTTTCACACCTTTTCATAGAGTATTTGCGCTTTAGCCAATGTAAGGAACACGATTGGAATTTGGCTCTTCGAATTCTCTTTCCTAGTTTCTAATCATGACAAAACTGCGTATATTGTCCCTTGGACAAGATGGCCTGATGGTGCCAAACCCTTTCCTTCTCCTAAGCTGGTTGCTAATCCAGGCTGTAGGAGCCAGTCTTTCCTGTTATTTACCTATAGCTAGAGAGGGGAGAGAAGAGATAGGTTCATACCTTTCCCCAGGGTATTTATGCGTAAAGGAATGTGACGAATTCGACTGGAATTCGAACTCGGCTCTCCGATTTTTCATTCCGCTATTCATGACACCACCACGTATCCATATCTATATAGTATATCGCTGCCAACACACATAGCAGTTATCGGCCCCGAAAGTGGATGTGACGTGCCGAGTTCAAATTATAGCCGTAGTCGTTGAATTCATTCTTACACAAATAACCTCAAAGAGACACGAATCGATCCGTTCTCTCCCCACCCACCACTTCCGTTTCCTTGTAAAGTCTACCTCAAATCTATACTTCTAACGACCCTGCCTAAACTCTGATATTTCATTTATTATTTATTTTTTTATTTTTTCTTCAATAGGTGTAGATAGGTTCAACTATCGTGCATTTCAAGTTCCGCCCCCGTTTTCTGACCAGGAGTAGAGATTTATCCCTTGATTCCTGCTTAGGATTGGATTTCCGGCTCCTTCAAAAATATTATTCATTCTCTTTCACTACCGGTAACTCCTTGAACGTTAGTAGCATCATCATCTTGATTGGTGTGTATTGATTAAAAAATATTAGATTTCTATTGTTTCAAATCCCCGAAGATATTGTTCAGCTATGTAGGTGATTAGATATTACAAAATGTAGCCGTTTCTTTCCGACTGAAATTATCGCTTTCTGCGTAGATTCCATTTTCCTTAAAACTTCTCCATTTTTACATGCTGTCCGTCCGTAGAGTTCTTATATGTGGGTAGAAACATATCTCTGTTGCTGTAAAAGGTCCTTCTGAAAATGGCCATTTGCTTCATCTAACTCAGAATATTCATGCTATATAATAATGTTTAAATTTGACTCTCCCCAGATGAATAAATTCCTTTTTCGATGAATTCTTTAGAAATTAGTCTCGTAGTGCAGAATATCATCTTTGTTATTATTATTATCATCATCAGTCTCATGACCGGGTGTGGTTGCAGAGTCGCTGCGCAGCTCAACAGTTGACCAGCTCCCTCTATATGTCTCGATTGAGTGCCAATTTCTGAATCTTTGGAAAAGGATCTTCCAGTTCCCACAGTAACGTTGGCAGGCTATAGTCTTGCTTCTGCTGCTTCTTCTATTTCCAAAGGTGATAACGACTAGGATGGTAATGGAAATATTATTATCACTTATGATCTATTAATAATTAAACTTTCTCTTCTTGACGGTGGATATGGGATTTGCTTCTTGTCCGATGTATTCTTGGACTGCCTTGTTTATAAAGCAGTTTCCTAGAAGATGCCCGGGATAGTTCTGAAGCATTTCATTTATAATTTGATTAAAACAGCTTAAAAAAAACCAAATGCTGAAAATGTTATCGGTTGTAATATAAAACAAATAAATATGGCATTTCCAGAGGAACAACTGCTGTATTGCCAGCTTTTTTCTTGCTCTTTTCCAAATAGAGTTAAATCTTTAGACTTTACTATGGTTGGTTACGGAACTGTTACGTCCTCCTGTATGACAGTGAATGCTGGGAAATCTCCTCACAGATGAAGAAGAGACTTGAAGCAGCAGAACTTAGGTTCTACAGAAGGATGCTGGGAATTATATAGACCGAATATAGGAGAACCGGCGAAGCTTTAGAGAAAATGGAAACAAAAAAGAAAGTTTCTTAACAGACAGTCAAAATTTCTAGCGCACATAACGAGGAAAGAGGGCTTGGAAAATCTGTTACTCACAGGAAAGATTGAAGGCAAGAGGAACACAGGAAAACAACGCATAAGCTACTTATTCAGCTTGTCGAAAAAGAATTCGACTGAAAAGACCAGCGTGGAGATAGCTGTTGAATGACCGGGTTTTCCTTAAGGATCCTTTCCACTAGGGTCAGGTAATCACAGTACTATCAGACAGGAACAGTAATAACAACTTGTTACGCTGTCGGCGAAAAAGCAACTCGAGTAGGAAGTGCAGGGATTTTTATAACATACTTCTGCCGTCATCTCTTCCGCCAATCAAATTGGAAGGCTACTAAAGCAAAGGAGAATGAGCCTTTCGCGCTTTTGGACTTCCCGGTCGACATCGCCGCTCCAATCATGTAAGTCTATTCTTTATTATTGCAGACAAGCTTGAGTAAATGGATGGTGGAACAAGGTTAGAGAGAAATAATAAAAAGATTTATTAAGATCTAGAACAGGAAATTGAAGAGCGCCATGATCGTCTACGTCTGCACATTGACGAATACGGTTGTCTGTAGGAAAATAGCAACAAGAGTTATTTGCTTTAGGAATTAGATCGATATTGACATGCGAAATAAAACACGACCATAGTAAAAACATCCGATGGTTTTCTTATTATTTAAGTAAAGGAAAAATTGAGGTAAAAGCAAAGGGGAAATAATTGTAAACCATACAAAAAGGAAGAAAAGGAGAGAAGCTGGAAGGAAGGAAGGAAGGAAGGATGGAAGGAAGGAAGGAAGGAAGGAAGGAAGGAAGGAAGGAAGGAAGGTAAAACGAATAATAGAAGAAATGAAAGAAAATAAGAAGAATAATGAAGCTTGGAAGAAAAGAAAGGAAGAAAGATAAAATAAAGCAAAAGGAAGCGAAAAAGAAAGAAAGAAAGAAAGAAAGAAAGAAAGAAAGAAAGAAAGATAAAAGAAAACAAAAGGAAGGGACAAAAAAGGAAGAAAGATAATAGAAAGCAAAAGGAAGCGAGAAAGAAAGGAAGAATGATAAAAGAAACGATAAGGAAGCGAGAAAGAAAGGAAGAATGATAAAAGAAAGCAAAAGGAAGCGAAAATGAAAGAAAGATAAAACAAAGCAAAAGGAGCGACAAAAAAAGGAAGAAAGATAAAAGAAAGCAAAAGGAAGCGAAAAAGAAAGATATAAGAGACCACAAAGAAGCGAAAAAGAAAGAAAGAAAGATAAAAGAAAACAAAAAGAAGCGAAAAAGAAAGGATGAAAAACAAAAAATGCAAAAGGAAGCGAAAATGAAAGAAAGGAAGAAAGATAAAAGAAAGCAAATGGAAGCGAAAAAGAAAGATAAAAGAAAGGAAAAGGAAGCGACAAAAAAGGTAGAAAGATAAAAGAAAGCAAAAGAAAGCGAAAAAGAAAGTAATTGAGGAAGATAGCAAGGAAGGAAGTAAAGAAGGAAGGACGAAAAAAAGAAAGGAAGTAAGAAAGGAAGGAAGAAAGGAAGGAAGGCAGGAAGAATAATGAAGCTTGGAAGAAAAGAAAGTAAGAATAATAAAAGAAAGGGAAAGGAAGCGAAAAAGAAAGGATGAAAGACAAAAAATGCAAAAGGAAGCGAAAGAGAAAGAAAGGAAGAAAGATAAAAGAAAGCAAATGGAAGCGAAAAAGAAAGATAAAAGAAAGGAAAAGGAAGTGACAAAAAAGGTAGAAAGATAAAAGAAAGCAAAAGAAAGCGAAAAAGAAAGTAATTGAGGAAGATAGCAAGGAAGGAAGTAAAGAAGGAAGGACGAAAGAAAGAAAGGAAGTAAGAAAGGAAGGAAGAAAGGAAGGAAGGCAGGAAGAATAATGAAGCTTGGAAGAAAAGAAAGTAAGAATAATAAAAGAAAGAGAAAGGAAGCGAAAAAGAAAGGATGAAAGACAAAAAATGCAAAAGGAAGCGAAAAAGAAAGAAAGGAAGAAAGATAAAAGAAAGCAAATGGAAGCGAAAAAGAAAGATAAAAGAAAGGAAAAGGAAGTGACAAAAAAGGTAGAAAGATAAAAGAAAGCAAAAGAAAGCGAAAAAGAAAGTAATTGAGGAAGATAGCAAGGAAGGAAGTAAAGAAGGAAGGACGAAAGAAAGAAAGGAAGTAAGAAAGGAAGGAAGAAAGGAAGGAAGGCAGGAAGAATAATGAAGCTTGGAAGAAAAGAAAGTAAGAATAATAAAAAGAAAGGGAAAAGGAAGGAAAAAGAAAGGATGAAAGACAAAAATGCAAAAGGAAGGAAAGAGAAAGAAAGGAAGAAAGATAAAAGAAAGCAAATGGAAGGAAAAAGAAAGATAAAAGAAAGGAAAAGGAAGTGACAAAAAAAAAGGTAGAAAGATAAAAGAAAGCAAAAAGAAAGCGAAAAAAGAAAGTAATTGAGGAAGATAGCAAGGAAGGAAGTAAAGAAGGAAGGACGAAAGAAAGAAAGGAAGTAAGAAAGGAAGGAAGAAAGGAAGGAAGGCAGGAAGAATAATGAAGCTTGGAAGAAAAGAAAGTAAGAATAATAAAAGAAAGGGAAAGGAAGCGAAAAAGAAAGGATGAAAGACAAAAAATGCAAAAGGAAGCGAAAGAGAAAGAAAGGAAGAAAGATAAAAGAAAGCAAAAAGAAGCGAAAAACTAAAGAAGAATGATAAAAGAAACAAAACGGAAGCGAAAGGGAAAGATAGAAAGACAAAAGAAAGAAAAAAGGAAAGGAAAAAGATAACAGAGACCACAAGGAAGCGAAAAAGAAAGGAAGAAACATATAAGAAAGCAAAAGGAAGTGAAAGAGAAAGAAAGAAAGGTAAAAGAAAGGAAAAAAGCGAAAAAGAAAGAGAGAAAGGTAAAAGAAAACAAAAGGAAGTGAAATATAAATGAAGAAAGATAAAGAAAAGCAAATCGAATGGAAAGAATAAGAAAGAAAGGAGAAGCGAGAGAAAAAAATGGAAGAATAATAAAAAGCCAAAAGGAAGCGAAAGAAAACGAAATGCAAAAGGAAGCGAAAAAGAAAGGATGAAAGAAAGATAAAAGAAAGCAAAAGGAAGCGAAAGAGGAAGAAAGATAAAAGAAAGCAAAAGAAAGCGAAAGAGAAAGAAAGGAAGAAAGATAAAAGAACGCAAAACGAAGCAAAAAAGAAAGAAATACAAAAGAAAGTAAAAAGGAAAAAGAATGAAGAAAGATAACAGAGAACAAAAGGAAGCGAAAGAGAATGAAAGAAACATAAAAGAGACCACAAGGAAGCGAAAAAGAAAGGAAGAATGATAAAAGAAAGCAAAAGATAGCGAAAAAGAGAGGAAGAAACATATAAGAAAGCAAAAGGAAGCGAAAGAGAAAGAAAGAAAGATAAAAAAAAGCAAAAGGAAGTGAAAAACAAAGGAATCAATGATAAAAGAAAACAAAAGGATGCGAAAGGGAAAGAAAGAAGGAGAAAAAGAATTCAAAAGGAAGCGAAAAAGAGAGGATGAAAGATAAAATAAAGCCAAAGGACGTGAGAAAGAAAGGATGAAAGATACAAGAAAGAAAAAGGAAGTGAAAAACAAAGGAATGAATGATAAAAGAAAGCAAAAGGAAGCGAAAGAGAAAGAAAGAAAGAGAAAAGAAAACAACAGAATGCAAAAAAGAAAGGAAGAAATATAAAAGAAAGCAAAAAAGATAAGAAGAAAGAAAAAAGAAAAAAGAAAGGAAAAGGATGCGGAAAAGATAGGAAGAAAGATAAAAGAAAGCAACAAATAAATAAAGAGAACGAATAACAACAAAGAATAGGAAGTTTGGAAGAAAGAGAGAACAAAAGCAATAAAAATAGAAAGCCCGAAATGTAACTGTATTGATTGATTGATAGATTTGTTTTTACGGATTATCAACCTTTTTTGGGTATTTAAAGCTGAAATATAGTTTAGGTTCTTTTTTTGTTAGTGATTATTGCATTAACATTTTTTTAGACAACGTTGTTTTATTTTTCAGATACAAGTCTTACTATTTAACCCATAGCTTGGTGGAAGAAGATGTGAATTCATACCTTTCTTAAGCGTAGAGGTGCGTAAGTGAATGTAAAAACGTCGACCAGAATTTGTCATCGCTTCTCTGATTACGAAATAAGACGAGAAGAAAAACATGTCGGTTGGAATAAAGGTAGAAAGACAGAAAGAAAGAAAAAAACAAAAAAACAAAAAAGAAAAGAAAAGAAAAGATGACTGAAATAAAGGAAGGTAGGACCGAATAAAGAAAGGGAGAAATAAAAGAAATGGATAAAGACAGAAAGAAAGTAGAAAGAAACGCAATGTTGGTAATGTAAGTAATATATGGTCGTGTGTTGCGTATTTGAACTAGTATTTGCCGAGTCTCTTCGGAAGGAAATTAACGCCTGCCCTAATACCGGATGCTGCAAGTAGTTTCAGTGTGTATAATTCAGTACTTGTCGAAATAATTTTAGGTTGAAAATCAGAAAGAAAAAAACAAAAAACAAAAACATTACAAAAAATGAAAAATAATTAACTCGTTCATTTTCGCTTCGGATTTTGTTTTAACTCATAAGTGGGTGTCGGAAATACGTTATTTTATACTTTATACAAGAATTCAACCAATTCTAGTTTAGTTCAATGACATCTCCGCCTTTTCTATTTATTAAACCCAAGCATAAATTTCTTTAGCCACCTTTTACGTAACTTTTAATACTACTTCATGTGCAAAAATTAAGCAACACGAGTCATCATCAGGATTATGATGAAAGCACATTGAACGTCTCCGTGATTCTCCTTTTCGACATGACTTCAGGTTTCCGGGCCTTCCTGTTTATTCAGACCCTTTTGTGTTCCTGCAAACCCCACTAACCGGAATTAAAGACTGTTCAAACATGTGTTCCGTCATCGTCATGTCTTACATTCATATTTGTCCCTTTCTCTGTGCTGGTTAACAACCACAGCTAGTGAACCCAGCCTGCTTTGCTATTTTAACCCGTACTTACAGTGTTGTGCGTGTGGGGAGATACCTTCATACCTTTCCCAAAGGCATTGGCACGGAAGCAAAAGGATTTATTTATTTATCTTTTTTAGCGTCCTTATGGGTCATTTTAATGCTGAAATTTCATTTTAGTGGGAGCATTAGAAATTTCTTTTACAAAAATGTATTGCTGGTATTTTTTTTACTATGAAAAAGTACAGATGATATTTTTAGTATAAACTTTTTATACTTTCATTGTGTTTTGAATTCAGCTAGGGAGTTAACAATTTCCCCATAGCTGGAACCGTAGCAGGTGCTACCCACGGGTCAGGGGGGGGGGGAAACTGAGAACAATAACAATTAAGAGATAGTTCCAAAACCTCCTGACATAGAGGCCTTGCTACCGGATGTAGGAAAAGTGAATGTAATTGTCACGTTTCAGTCTTATTCATCTTACACAATCAGAATTGAATAAGGCAGACGCATTCGGCTTTAGTTGAAATAGACTATACTCATGAGGTAATTTGGGATTTATCTGTTGTGTAATTTATATGGTCTGTTATAATAAATACATTGAGCTCTTTTTGTGGATCAGTTTTAATATTTTACATTATTAGGATCGACTTGGATAACAACGGATTTAATATATATATATATATATATATATATGTGTGTGTCTGTGTGTCTGTGTGTGTGTGTGTGTGTAAATTAAATAAGTTTTTTTGTGGTACAGAATTTAATAATACATAGGAGAAGGTATTTTTTTAAAAGAAAAGATAAAAAACAAAAAAACAAAAACAAAAAAAAAAAAAACAGAACAAAAAACAAACAGTTTCGTCCCAGGACTTATCAAGTTTATTTTTCTGGGAACAGAATATTTAAAAAAGCGTGTAAATTAAATTTAAATTAACGAATCGACTGGAATGGAAAAAAGAAACTAGAATGTTATTGGACTCTAGTTCCTTGAAATTCATTTTTTTTCCTATTCCATTCTATTCGTTAATTTAAATTTAATTTGCACGCTTTTTAAATATTCTATTCCCAGAAAAATAAACTTGATAAGTCCTGGGACGAAAACGATTGTCTTTTTTTTACCTTTTAAAAATGCCTTATAAATTTGGTCTTTTTCCTATCTATTATATATATATATATATATATATATATATATATATATATAGATAGATAGATAGATAGAGAGAGAGAGAGAGAGAGAGAGAGAGAGAGAAAGAAAGAGAGAATAAACGATTTGATGATAACTTATAGTTGAAACCAAGGTAATACGGAAGGGTAAAGTCTTTTCATTTCATTTAAACTAATAAAAATTGTAATTACACAAAAGAATTCGTAGCAAAAAATTGCCGAAAAGAATCGTAGTAATGAAAACTTGGGAATGCAAAATTTCAGGATTATTATTTGCTAACAGAGTCGGTCTGATTCCGAAATGGTAAGATATGTTGGGCTACGGCCTCTAAGAGTCAAACACTGTAATTTTAGAACAATATTTTTTTTCATTTAAACATAGGCTATTGAAGGTTAGAGAGCTGTGTCCCTTTAAATGGTTTTGTCATTAGAAGCCAAGATGGCGGAATCCTTATACAATCGTAGTAATGAAAATAATAAAGTGGATAAAGGCGTTAGTTAGATCGAGTGACAGGACCCGGTTAAGGCAGTGGAGAACTTCCGGAGGGAAATTAACAGGAGATAACTGATAACTGACATCCATTAAACATGGCATATGGAACTAGAACAGTCTACCCCAGTGAGCGAAATAAATGGTTCAGTTCGACATTGCAATCACCTGAAGAAGGCCGGAGCGTACAACGGCCGAAATAAATATGGCGACAAAGATGAGAACAATAGTCCAAATAATGTAAATAATGTACATAATACCTCATCTCATAAATATAGACAGATACATACATATATATATATATATATATATATATATATATATATATATATATATATATAACATTGAACTTATATAATAGCGTAAAAAAATTCTTGCATTTACTTATGTTCAGTACTAATTAATAATTAAATTTGTTTACCTTAAAATAATTATGATCTTTACGTCACTAAGAGAGGAATGATGAGTAGAGCTTACGGCGTAGAAATACATATTCGTATCCAAACCTAAACAAAGCAATTTCTATAGAAATAATGGAATTTTGATTTATTAATCCGACAATTTTAAATTTCATTTTAAACATTATATTTATTTTTTTCTCTCGGCCTGAATATATACCGGGTGTAGCAGTAAAATTCTCCAAATCGTGTAAAAGCAAAATCCTCCAATTGTTAGATTAAGATTCAGATTTCATTGTTGTATCCTAGAAATGATTAAAGATATCTTACTGAAATTTTCCGATGTTCTTATAATACTATTGGACTCTACTTTGAGCAAGAAGAATGTATTTAGCTTTAAGTTGAAATGATGATCACTTTTGCTACTGTGACCTCCTGATCCAGTTTTCATTTCTACTGTTCCATCTTTTAAAAACTTATTCATCGTTCTCTCGATGGTCCTTGAATGGTCTTTGAAGATGGAAGCCAGAGTATGAATGTTGGTACCATTACTGAAGGCCCGAATGATCTTTTTTCCTCTCACCATTGCTCAGTTGACTTATTGGGGCTGACACAAAATGATTTTAACCTCTTCTCTTTCTATTTGAATAAGTCAACGGGTTTTTCTGTGTTTC